AGAGAGAGAGAGAGAGAGAGAGAGAGAGAGAGAGAGAGAGCACTGCACTTTGCCAGAACAAGCGTCCACTTTAAAAGTCAAGTCGTTTCCATTTGAGTGTAATTGAGAGCGACAGCTAATGGGGGGAGGGAATGTGCAGCAAGGTGGGCAACACGGCTGGTTGTTTCTCCTCCGCACCGCTGGCAGCACTCCAGACGGCCACTACTGTTATTAAAGACTGACTGTGGCGAGTGTGTCACAATAGGTTGGTTAGCCTGTAAAGGTATGATACAGTTGCATATGCACAGTCTAACACCTGTGAAGATTTTATCTATTAATTTTCACTGAATGAAGTATCCCAAAACACTTATTTCCAACATAAAAATAAATCCTGCCTTATAGATTTGAGATCCTTTGGATGGATGAGTCTAACTTCACATAGTAAAGCGAGTCAGAATGTCTCTGGGTACCCAGAGCAGCTGGAGTGATGAAACAGGACAAAAGGTCACTTAGACCTGCATAGTAATTAACATAAAGGCTTCAGGGACCAGTGATACAGGGCAAAATGAGAAATGATGCCGCAAATGAGGTTTTTCCTCTCTTTCATATTTTTTGATAAATATAACATCCCCGAAGCAGGCAGAGAGGTCAGATTCAGGTCAGAAAGACATACAATGATGATGAGATATACTCGAATATGCTTTCAAATGCTACCATCTACATTTGCCTTCCATTCTTCGAGCACTGACGTTGACTGTGTCCGAGCTTACCCAGGTTCCTCGGGGGCAGGGGCGGAGCAGAGATGGTGGCAGACTGAGGCGGGGTGGCGTTGAGGATGGTGCCATAGGTCTCGTTGTTGACCAGGCTGGGCATGTAGGCACGCTGCTTGTCCTTGGCGAGGCCGACGGCATCGCGGCCCGCAGAGCCCAGACTGGTCTGCAGGTGAGAGTTACTGCTCGGGGTGTAACAGCTGACCGGACGCTCGTCTCTGCGATGAGGGCTGGGCTGGAGGGGCAGCATAACGAGAGAGTGTTAGACATGGTCAGACACGGCTCACGAGATATTCCCCTCCTCACTGTATGCGTTCACTATGTATAGCGTCAAATTTGTCAAAACATGTCAGTCACTTTTTTTTTACTTGGACTTGTTTTCATATAATGTTTGTCGTATTTTGTTCTTAAAATAACTGTTAAAAACCAACAAATTCAACTTAGATTTTTTTCTGCAATATTTCAACATGTTCAAATGTAAACATTTTCCTGTCAAGACTGAATGATTAATATGCAAGGTACTTTAAAAAGAACACACACACAAAGTACTTTTTCAGGTAGCAAGTGAAGTATTTCTGTTTACTTTATTATTCTTGTTTTCTCCCTTAACAGTGTAGCACTCTGTATACGAAAGTGTCTCTCACCTTCTCATCCAGATCTTCGTCACTTTCATCCAAGTCTTCATGCTGCAGGCACCATTCATATTCAACATGGACGTGGGCGTTGAATTTCCCCGCCAGTGCTTGGTTCAACTATATACAAACAAATCAAATCCAGACACATGTAAACACACAGGACTGACAAGTTTCAGGAAGCGATATTGCTTGTAGGCATAAGCCACGTTTGTACAAGGCGAGCTCACCAGCTCTTCACACTGTAGGTGTTTGAGCCTCCGGGCGATATCCAGCGGTGTCTCCCCGGCCTCATTAGCTGGAGAGAAAACAACAGAAACATACAATGATTACTGTATCCACTGTATGAGCACAAACACACAGCCCATTTTCTGTCCTCCCATTTCACTGAGAAATGTGTAATTAGACTGTTTCCCACACTGAACAACTCTCTGGTTTCCCTGTGTCCCTCCTCCTCTCTGCATCTATTATCTTTTGTTGATGTCACAGCGGAGTAGAAAGATTAGTGTTGTGAGAAGGAGTTGCCATGGTCTTTTGGCAGAGCCGGCGCCTCTGGGAACTGAATCTGAAAGACTTGAATCAAGGGGTGTGTATGTAAGTGAGAGAGAGACAGAGACAGAGACAGGGACACAGAGAGAGAGAGAGAGAGGATGCAGCAGTGAGAGAAAACATTTGTGTGAGACAGTGGTGGTTGAACAAGTATGCAGATCAATTACTAAGTGAAAGTAATATGATACTACCGCGATGTAAAAATGACTTTACACACAACCTTGTGATGAATTTCCGAATAGATGGTGCAAACAAATACAGGTGTGAAAAAAAAGAAGAAAAGACAAAGGAAAGAGTGGGACAGGGAACGCATCACAGCCGCCCCGTTCGCTGGTATGTTCCCTTACCGATCTCTATTGAGGCCTTCCCCCGCAGCAGCAGTTTCAGACACTCGCTGTTGTCGGTCAGGCAGCAGTAGTGCAGCGCTGAGCTGCCTTTGGCCGTCTGCTTGTCCAAATTCAAACTGCAGAGGGACACAGACGGAGAGCTTTAAAACTACAAGTGTCAAGAGACGCCATCTTTTTATGGTGTTTTAAATGGTTGCCACAGTCAGATGGATAATCAAACTACTTAAATACTGTAAGTAACAAATAATAATAATAAGTGAGGGGCTTTGTTTACCTGTTCTGAGTGAGGAAGTCGACGATGTGAAGTGACGTTCTATCCACCAGCCTGACTGCGAGATGAAGGGCTGTCTCCCCTTGTTCCTGAAATAAAAAAAAATTAAAAAAAACATTTGCACCATTTTTTTTTATATTCCTCTGGGAATGAGAGGTGCTTGTGGAGAATCAAGCTAAAGAGCAAGAAGAAGAAGTCAAAGTCGATGGTAGAAAAGCAACTGGGCTAAAGTTTCAAGTCCCCATTGAAGGACAGACTCGACATCACACAGGCTGAATATTTCGTGTACTGACGTGTCCGTTGGCCAGAGGTATGGGCTCCATGAGGTCGACTCCCTCGGCGTAGACCTGGATGAGGGAGAAGATGTCCCGGGCCTTCACTGCGTCGCACAACGTGTGGAGCCGCGACGTCGCATCGGGACACTTCTTCCGAGCGAAACGTTTCTCCGTGTATTTGGCTGTGATGAAGTCTTTCCTCGCCTGCCTAGTTAAACATGTGAAGAGAGGCAGCTGCTCAGCTACAGCTGCATCACTTACACTCTTCATGTGAATGGGTGTGATTGGGGACGCACCAATCAGAAGCCACTGATCATAATTAGTCAATAAACACACTAAATTAGATTTCTGTGATTACCATTTCAGAGCTTGAAAGAGTTTCATAATTAGGTTTTAATTGCAAGTAAAAGCCGTCATACAAGTCACAAAAGCATGAAACAAAAGTACCACACTGATAAAAGCTGAAGAAACACTCTTCTATTCTACGCTAGATTACAGCATTATAATATATTATACTATATTAATCATCATATGATATAATAATCAGGTGTAAGCCGTCTGCATATATACCTTTCCGACTTTTTTCCTACTAATCCCACCACAGTCACTCTTGCCTTGTAATTAGTGCTTTGATTGCCTTTGTATAGTTTCTATTCTTATTTTCTGTTCACCTGAACCTATTTCTCATTTCATGTCATCAATCATGCCCACGAGATCAGTGAATCTTCAGCCAAACTGAATTGGTAATCACTCACATTCAGAAAACCTGATCAGTACAATGTTGGTTGAGATGTGCCAATATGTCACAGTGATGGTGTCGTGTGTCATGCGATACAAGTGAGAAGAGAAGAGAGAGCGCGCTAGAGTCCAGGGAGAATCGTATGGGGGGGGGAGAGAGGAAGGGAGATCGGTATGAGGGAGAGATGGATGGGTGACTTACATGTCACTGCCTGGGTTGGGTTTCACCACATTTTCAGCACTTAAACAAGCCTCCATGATTTCATTAAAGCCTGCATTCCCCACATTCTTGGCCAGCTGTGGAACACACACACACAAGTTATACTCGACATTTTCTGCACCACATTCATTACGGTAAAAGTTGTCATCTTTGCGTCATCAACTCACACCTCAGGATGCAGTACTGTGTGTGTGTGTGTGTGTGTGTGTGTGTGTGTGGAGCGTTATTATATGCACAACGCCCATCTGAGTGTGGCCAACACGACTTGGCGACTTAACACTCAGGAAAGCAATCGTGACTGGAAGCATTTAATCCCTCCCGGCCCACAGGCGGTAAATCTCTACACCAAACCAGCCATAAAAAAATGTCAGCTATTCTGTGTGGAGACTTCCAGAGGTCTTGGAGGAGAGAGGAGAGGAGAATGAAGTCTGGAGCGATGCTACTCTCCCTCCTTCCTGTCTTGGCTTCCTGACCCTCTTGTCCTCAGTTTCTTACCTCCTCATTCTTCCCTCAATCTTTCTACTCCCACCTGCCCCCCCCCTGTTTATCATGCCTAAAGATTCATAGGGAATAATCTGTACAATCAAAACGTGAGGTGATTCAGAGAGAAAGAAGACAGACGCCAACAGTGATTTACCAAGAGCTCTGAGGTGCTGAGTACGTCCAGAGTGAGGGACTGGATCCTGGAGTAGTGGACTCCAAGCTCCCTGTGGATCCCTGAACATTCAATGCAGGTGAGGATGCCCAGGTTGGTGGACAGCCACGTTGGGTCTGAGAAAGACAAAAGGAAAATCGTCAAGAGAATGGAGGGATGACGAGGTAAACCACACGTGGGGAAAGAGGGAGGAAGGAATACGGGTGACACGCTGTCCTTGGGCAAAAACCACGAAAGCTAAAGTTATTTCTGCAGCACGTGAGCAGACATTGATGTGTCCTTGTGGAAAGCTGTGTGCTCTGGAAATGTAATAGCTGCCTGAAGGGCTTTTCACTATCTCACAGCACACAATGTCAGAGGCAAGTGACCAAGCTGAACTGTAACCAAGTCTGGCCTAGATACTCGTTCTATGTGTGGATATACTGCGTGTGGAGGCCATACATGTAAAAGCATATACGTGTCTGCTGGAGGAAATTTCATGGAATTTGAGAACCGTTATTGGGGGGGCTCCATGTACAGCATTTGAGGAAAAACTGATTTCAAAGTCGTGACAGAATATCTCCAGAAAGAGGATCCAGCATTTTCATCCCAGTCGAGTAGCTCATAACTATGCATATACATCACTGCTAACACTCCCAAAGCATACCATACATTTTAGTCTGTACCCATCTTCCTGTCAGTCTGTTCATTTTTTTCAGTCTGGAAATATGCTTCAAATATTATGTAAAATGTACATTTATTTTCTCACAAAGTAAGGAAGTCAAAACTAAAGTTGAAGGATTAGCCGTTGAAGGATTTTAAAGTCAATAACTCATGAGAATGCATCACTCTTTTCCCGGGATTTCTAGCCATGAATGAAAATTGATTTTAAACTCAGAAACGTGGATTAATTACTGGTAGATTTTTCATTCTCATTGTCGGGAGATTTACACGATCAATTACGTTACCGCTGCTGTGGGTGTAACATGTGCACTGCACCGCTCTCAATTTAGAAATGCACATATTGTTCCAGCTGCTGCAGGACGGCTCCAGATATGGAAGTAACTCAAAAAGGACAGAATCCTCACCACAAACCGATGTGGGCAACAAAAAAGACCATCTATAATGACGTCATTGCAAAACCTCAGATTATACTGACGCACATTTTGGCAGTAGTGTTTGGCAGTACATTTTGGCAGTAGTGTCATAATTACTGCATCTTAAGGTTGGAATATAGCAACTACACGATAGTTAATGAGGTTTGGGAGATCATCTTTAGTATGTGAATACAAAGGCTCACATTATGCTTAAAATCCTGGGTAAAACAATCATTCAAAGATCATAAAATTTGTTTAGACACTGTGCCGTCAATCATTTGTCTCTCTTTGTCACTCACTGGGTGCTCCGCAGTCGCAGCACACGTCATTTCCCGTCATCCTCTTGACCTCTCCTAGGATTGCCTTGGTCAACTCCTGCACGATGTTGTTCTCGCCGACATGCTGGTCCCCTTTGAAGGCCTGATTCAACGCCTCCTCCTTACTGTTCTGTAGCACCGAGATCCAGCTGGAGGAGGGAGGAGAGGAGAAGAGACCGGAGGGGCGTACAGGACAAGTGAATGAAAATTAGAATAATGACAGAGGAAGGAAGACGAGGAAGTAGAGGCAGGAGGAGGTGAGAGTAGGGTTCAGAGGAGGGAGGAGATGAGAGCAGCCGAAGCAGAAAGAAAAGGAGGAGGGTGTTAAAAAGGGGAGAGAAGAAGGGAGTAGAAGGCAGCTAATAGTCAGGAGGTGGAAGGTAATGACAAGGCCAAGCGTCTGACTGGGTGTGAGGTAGGAAGTGTGTGGAAAGTGGCCGAGGTGGTAAACAGGAAACACTCAGGCACAGGACTGAACACACAAAGGGAAGGAAGGAACAGGCACTTACATCTGACAGTCCTGGTCGTCCTCGGCCTGAAAATGATACGTTCTGTCATCTGAAACAAAAAAAGAAATGGATGACACAACAGAAGAGAGAAGTGGGAGAGGAGGGAGGGGAGAACATGAATGAAAGAGCAGTGGAGACAGGATGAAGCTCAGAGCGACTCCCTGCAGAGGGCATTAAAGTAGCAGGTCAAACAGAAAACAACTTAAAAACTCTCATTTCTGTCTCCAGGTGAGAATCACTCAATGATAACCAGGGAGAACCTTTTTACACCAGCAACTGAAACCATGTTGTGTCTCCAGGGGCTGAAGATTAGCTCCTCCAGCTTAATGCTATTATCTCTTACAGGACATGTGGAAAAACTGGCCAAATCTTAAATGAACCTCAATATTAGCTACATCTCACAGTCCAGTCAGAAAAGACTAAATCCTATTACTGGCTTTTGATTTTAGTCAAATGTATGTATACAGCCTAATTTCACAAATCAAAGGGCTTTTTAATCTGCACAGCCTCTGTTTTTGGACCTTCACAGTGTTTAAGGAAAAACTAAGAAAAACCTCTAACAGAAGAAATGGAAGAACCCTGAGGAGGAGCAGAGTACGGATCCCTCTCCCGGGACAGACACACACAATAGATGCTTTGTGTACAGAATAAGCAACATAATTCAATTATAACACACAATCCATTTGACAAAAAACAGACAGATAATGCGATTCCGTGTGTATCAGCTTAACAAATGCTGTTACTTAACTTAATTTATTTGACAGAAATTTACTATTTGGGGAAGAACAAGCCAACAATAAAGATTATTTGACATCAATATCGATTAATTTGCAGATATTTTTCTTGATTAATGTCTATAGGGAAAAATGTCAATCACAATTCCTCAGACACTGAAAACAAAGTAGTTGTAGATTCATTTTCTGTCAGTCGACAAAAGCTTTTTGTTCACCGTTTGCTGCTGAATGCTAGATTGAGATGTGCTGGATGTGTCAATATATATCTTTAAGAGTCGGCTTATCTTTGGGTTGCTGCTTCTTTCTAAATAGAAACACATTTGAAATCCACAATGCTGCACAACAAATCTTAAACTGCTGCTGTCTGGAAGAATGGAGCTAATTAAAAAGGTAAGGAAAGTGGCATATAAAACAAGCGTGCAAAGACAGAGGGCTGAACGTACGGGATATGAGGTCAAAGCTTCTCTTCTCTTCAGGATTGTGTTTCACCTGGCAGGTGAGCAGGTTGAGTTTAGCCGGAGGCCGGTTAGCCTGACGGAGAGAGAGAGAGAGAGATGGAGAGGAATGACAACAATATCAATGAGCGAGAGTGTTGTGTTTAACCGTATCCGACTGCTGCTGCAGCCAAATGAAACATGTGATAAGCTGCTACGTGTAAGATGAGCGGCGTCAGTAAGAGGAGTCGCCCGGGCCCGGAGTTAAATCTTTATATGGGAACTAGCAGAGTTCAGGTTAATAAGGAGGCTCAGCTGAGGCAGCGGATGCGAGGAGAATGTTAACTTGTGAATATATTCATGGTTAATGGGTGAAGATAATGACCGGCTGATGAGAACGACACTGTAATGTGCGGGACAAAATGAAGCATGTATGGGAGAGTGTGTTCATGCATCCTGAGGGTGCTTTTTAAAATAAGAACACATAGATCCTGTCTTGTGTGACTAAAAGTCGTCATTGTTTTCTTACTGTGCCGTGTGAGATGGTGAGGTATCCGTTCTTCGCTGTGCACTTTCTCTTCTGCCACACTTTCCTCAAGCTAAGGCACACAGAAGACAGTTCATTTGTAAGTCAAATAGACGGTGAACTCTGAACTCAAAGAGCAGACACTCATAACTAATGCATGTATTCTGTATTGTAACGTGATCATACTAAATATTTTATTATGAGACACAGGCTGAGCAGCGTAATCATACGCCTTCATTTTGCCTTCTTGTATGAAAAAGCTTATTTACAATGTATTATTATATTATTTATAAAAAATGTGAAACGTACTCCGACAACTATTGTAGAACTATTGTACTAATACTCACCCGTCACTTTTCTTGAAAAGGTACCCGCTGCGCTCCGTGCCGTGCTCCTTGTTCCCCCGTGGTTGGTGCAGGCTGTAGGTGGTGCTCTGCCGCACCTGCGAATCCTGGAAAAACACACACAAACAAACAAGAGACGAGACATCAGAGCCTTCAAACAAATAATAAATAAATAAAAAGCAGGAACTGCATGTGGGATTCGCAAATTCAAATTGCAGTCAAGTGGGAGCCGCTGAAGCGTCAAATGGCTCAGATTTACGCTCTGCTCCAGAGGCTCCTGCTCCTCTGAGAATTTGGAAGCAAGTATGAACAACAAAAGAAGATTGCTGCTGTGAGCCTCAATGGTTTCGTACACACGGGGATAAGAAAATAAGAGGAGCTTTTACACCTCTGAATCAGAAGCTGCAACAATAGATGAGAAAACGCTGCCATTTTATTCTCATATACCACTCTGAAAGGATCAAAAGATGAATCATATTTAGATTAAGTGCCTGGATTTAACAGATTTAACTTGATTTTTCTTTAGATATTCAGGTTTGACTGTAGTGTAAAAACAACCGCCAAAAAAGGACCAAACAAAGGCCAGATTTTTGTATGAGCGATGTCACTTCCTGTCTGGAAACACTACGGGAAACAGAGAGGACGACTTCTGAAGGCAGGCGTGGACGGGACTTTAATGACTTGTTTTGGTGTGTGCCGTTATCAGCAGACAAACACCGCCAACAGGATGATCGTGAAGGAGCATGAATGCAGCTCTAGCTTTTCTCATTGAAAAGTCATTTAAAACAAAAAAAAAATAAAAAAAGCACAACTAAAAATAATCAAAGCACTGAAACAATCAGATGACATATTTGAACAAAAAAAAAATAAAAATATGCGGCTGTAAAAGAACATTAAAGAAAACGATGAATCCAGCACTACAACTGAAGCAACGACCTCAATGAACACAGGACGCAAACAACCACATGTCTTCAAGGAATCCACTTACTCTCCTGGACTTGTTTCACAAAAGAAGGCGGCAGCGAAGGAAAGAAGAAAACAATCATCAGGTGAGACCAGGAGCTGCTGTAGCCTGCAGCATGTTTAATGGATCGCTAAGGACCAGGGTCAAACATAAATCACGTCCACTCATTGGGCGGTGGTGAGAAAATGGATAATAGCAATGCATGTATGATCCAAAGACAAATTGAAGAAAGAGGTTTTTATTAGAAATTTGCCCTTAAAAACAGCCGATACGTGGTAGTGAGGAGACAACCCTGATAGACCTATGTAAGGATTGTCTAGATGAAATATAATCTGATTCAGGAGCAGATATATAGGAACTAGGAAGATGAAAATGTGATGTTTCTCACCTCTTTCTGCTCCACCTGCAGCGCCGTCTTGAGGACGTCTCGTAACTGAGTCAGCTGCTTCCTCTCCTCGTCCTGCACCTGCTTTATCTGTCACAGAGGAAAGATGGAGAGACGAAACACACGATGATGTTTATACGATATAAATGTCACCGTCAAGAGAAGGAGACTCACCGTGTGCAGATCAGTGGCCAGTTTCTCTATGGAGGGTTTCAGGTTGTCCACAGCTTTCAGGCCATCCTGAAAGAAACTGAACAGGAAGCACGTCAACTTAGCAAAGAGCCGTATATTGTATAAACCGACAACTTCCAGGTCGACTAACAACATTGCATCATAACAAATCAAAAGGCAAAACACAGTTCTCTATTTGCTTGTCTTACTTGCACTGAGCGTGGAAGTACTTGATGAGGTTCTGCAGCAGGTCCACCCCTTTCTTGATTTTGATCTCATTGACTTTGAGGAGATACTGTCAACATATTGAATACAGATTTAGTCAGACAGGGTGAGGCCGGGATCAGTCAGAGGAAAAACAAACTCAGACTCCATCTCAAACATACACATCGCTTTCATCTCAAATCCAGACGCTTCAAAGCAAAAGTCTTCTGCTTTCAAGTAAAACATCAATGAGGTCCAGACCGCACAAACACACTAAATGTAATCTGAATTCCAAAAGGCTATAAACCCATTCTGAAATATACGACCTTTACCTAAGTTTGACAGATCTTTGCAGAAACTAGCCAGTAAAAAAGGTTTTTTCCCCCCAAAACCTCTACATCCTGTTAGACGCAATCTCTGAAAGTAGGAGTTCCATTTCTAACATTTTACAATGCATATTGCATTTTACATTGAAGATTCATTATGAATTACTTGTTGACTAACTGTGGTGACATTGTCAGTCATTGGTCGACTAACCTCACACATCTGCAGCTGGAAGAATCTCCTCTCCTTCTCCATCTCCTCGGCGATTTCTGCCCCACTGATTTCCGTCCTGATCATCCCGTGCTGCCTCGCGTGCTCCTTCTTCTCCTTCTCTATCTTGGTGCTGGTAGGAAGTGACATCACAGGGGTCAAAGAGCACACCGCACATCCATAACACCATGAACGGGGGGGGGGAGTGTGGTATTGTGTAAAATCAGCCCTATTGCTATCCTGCAGATAAAGGGGTGGCCTTGCTGGGGGATCTGGCAGTGTTGATTTTGATGTGTCTGTTCAGGTTTATCTTAGATAAAAAAGTTCCGTGTTGCTTGGACCTCTTACAGTAAATGAGAATCGTCAAGCGAGGGGTTAAACTGCACTAAGCTCATCAGAGCTTTTGGAAAGGGGTCCAAAAAACACTTGTTTCTCACCGATAATGGCAATTTGGCACCGAACATAAAGCAGACAAAAATTAGAAAGCCGTCTTTATTCACTGAGTTACTGTCTGTCATAATTATTTCTATGCACAGTTGGGTCATTTTAAAGTGGAGGTAATACATGTAGAGATAATTAGGGTTAAGTGTGGGTTTAGGGTTTAAAAGGGAAGGCACAAGCAAACAATATTAGAAAAACAACAGGTTACCTAGGACAGGTTACTTAGGGCTGATTTTTCCCAAAGACCACAAACTCTCCATTCAATATCTCTGAACAGGCAACATACACAGCGGAGGGGAGGCACCAGACCATGCAACAGGGCATTCTTTTCCATATGCTGTTTTTCTGGCAGCATATGCAGCAGTTTGTTCCCTATCGGAGAGACGGGACGAGGCCGTCGCTGTCCGCAAGCCGCTCGAGAGCCGTTCAGCCTGGTTCATGTGCATCAAGACAGACTTCACTCCCTCACGTTCAACTGTGCTATCCGTTTGACCTGCAGCTAGGCTCAGCACAATATGTGACGAGACTAATACATACAAAAAGGTCATTGCACAACTCAACTTTAAAGAGGGAAAAATCAAAGTGGTGGAGCTGCATGAGCCATCTTCTAAAACATATTATAATATAAAAGTATCAACTAGTCATAAAGAAATAGGGTACTAAAGGAAGACATTTATGGGAAATACACGTTATTTGCTTACTTGCAGAGCGTTAGATGAGAACCACATACTGTTGTTTTTACATTTTTTAATGTATGACACAAAGAAGATATAGCATGTTATTAAGTGAGCTTAATCTGTGCAGATAGGCTAGCTGTTGTCTTAGTTTAGCATACAGACTGAAATAGACAACCGTCTCCTGGCTGTAGCTTCATATTTAAGCAAAACTTCGGCCGGTAAGCGAATAAGTGTTTTCCGAATTGTGAAACTATTCCTTTAGTATTCCTTCTCAACTGCTCCCTTTATACCATGATTCATGATGTTACACCACTTTAAAAAAAGAAAAAGAAAAACTATTCTTCTGCATCAGTGCTGTTGCACAATATCTCGTGCCATGTGCCATTTGGCATGTGCACAAAGGCTGTGTGGAGTGTGCTGTTGTGAAAGAATGCCAACTTTGAGGTTTGTTTAACGATATCAACGGTGAGTCACTGTGGGAAAAGACAGTTGTCAGTTTGTTTTCTCTTCATGCTTTTCCAAAAAAATAAAGCAGTTTTGTTTTTAACCAAGATAAAAGTCTTAGACACGGTTGGAAAGCCAGAGACAAATGGCGTAAGTTCCAACAGCCATTAGTTTTGGTTGTAAATATGCCATTTTGCTGGTGCATAAAAGCCGAATTTCATGTCATTCACTGCGGGCCTTTGTCAGCACATGAATCTTCAGCCCTGACAGCGTTACAGCATCATCAGAGCCGCGACTAATAGAGAGGAACATGTTCGCCCGGCTTTTTGGCAGCCAGCCAAACTGACAGTTGTTCAACTGATGATCGTGCTAAAAATCCAGTCACTTTCAGTTCTGTCAGTTCAGGAAGTAATTCACCCATATGAGGAAATGAAGACAGAAGAATCTGGAGATCGGTCTGATTTTAGTAATTACAAACACTTTTCCTGAATCAACAGCATTCAAAGTGAGACAACACACTGAAAACTGAATTCAAACGTGGGTTGTCATATGCAAAGAGCTTGCAAACCAAATTAGGGAATCAGAAAGCAATGCTGTGTTGAGACAAAATAATTTATCTTTTTGTGTCTGAGCATTTAAAAACAGCAAACAAGCAGAGAGATCGGAGAAGACCAGAGGATCGTTGATGAGGAAGAGCGGCGAGATACAATTGGGTGTTTGGGTGGTTTTCCCAATCAGGCAGAAAACTGGACTCTATTGATGTCTTCTGTTCTCCATCAATAGAGTCAAATCATAAGAATAAGTCGGGTCGTTCAAAAACAGTCACATAGCATCCGGCTGAACTCTCGATGTCAGGACAAAGCCAGTACTGTCTGACCAGAGAGAGAAGATGTATTACCCTTTCAGTAAAGAATGTCCTTTGCAGCTTGTAAAATATATGAAAGTGCTATAAGATGTCATGTGTTCTTTGCGTGCACAATCACAAGGGTTTGACAGTGGAAATGTGGTGGTTATTCACACCATCGAGCATGTGTTAACAGCTCATCACAGGGGGGAAGTTAGAGGGGAGAGAGGTTAGTCGAGACAAGACATACTGCACATTTCATTTTAACATACTAACTGACAAGATAAGACGATAGTTTGATCTGCTGAATTGATAAATTCAAACAAATGATGACTGTGGTGTGTTGCATCAACCAACAAACTGGTTCTATTTATGGAAAATAAGTTAAAAAGTAGACACATTAGGTTTCTTACGCTTTTGTTTCGTAGTCCTTCCAGGCTTTGTCGAAAGGCTTTTTCAGATCCTGTGAAAAACAAGCAGAAAGCTTACATTAATCAACAGAAAATGACTCAACGGCATTTTTTGATATTACAGAAAGCTCTCATGTGGTGAGAGTTTTTTGTCAACTGCTGTTTGCAGAGTAAAGAACTTTTGATATTTGATTCATTGTTTCAATTAAGGAAAAAAAAAAACATAATTTTACATCATTGCAAAGTGAAAACCTTTGGGGTGTCGCTTTGGGCTCTGTGATCTTTGTTTTTTACATTTCAAATACATTTAGGAATAACACCATCATAAGGCAACCAGGAATCACAAAGATCACTGTCACTGCTTACCAACTGTCACATGTTCAGAAAAAACACTTTTCTTTTTCAACTACTAACGAGCAAAGCTATATGCGCGTGTGTGTGTGTGTGTGTGTGTGTGTGTGTGTGTGTGTGTGTGTGTTTGCAGGTGTGTGTTTCAACACGATGTGACTCAGTAAGCTGAATCATCCTCCTCACAGATGCAAAGCAGCCCACAGCTGTCTCAGCAGGGAGCAGGGCGAGGCAACTGTGGAGGGATTTTCTGAAGGCAGGAGCACGGTGAAATTGTTTCTTGGCATTTGTAGCGCGATCCCTCTGGTCACATCGACAACAGGCAACACTGATGTCTCATCATCACGGTTGCGCCTTCAACAGCTGCTTGAGCAAGGCGCTTGATTAAACAACACCCCTAACACTGTGGCGCTGATTAAACAGGGATTGTGACAAACAAAAGGAGAGATTACTGGGCGCAATTGGCCGTGTCACTCCCTAGAAAATACAATTCGACCAAATTAATTGTTGCCTGAAACCAGAACACCAAGAAAATCTGCACAACAGCGTGCAACAATAACAACGACTAATCAAGAGAATTATATTACATTTAACTCAAATTTTCTCTTTCCAAAAACCACAGTAAGCACCTGCTGCATCCTGGTATGGACACTATTTAAACCCTAAGCAGCACTCATATCTGGCATACTGGGCATTTCTGCACATGAATGTGAAAAGCACACATTTTGCTGTTCGGCTGGACAGACAGCGTACAGCTTTAGTGCATTGTTAAAACTCCAGGGACGACTGTGCTCCCACGGTTGACCTCCGCTTCAACAGCAGAGGGTCAACCCGTTAGCCCACATGATCACGGTCTGGTTCACTGCGCCAAGGACCACTCGGCCATTCAGTCAACCAGCTCAAGGGCAGAAACCACCAGAGGAAAGAGAGCAGAAAAGACAAAAATAAGAAGAAAAAAGCTGAACACCAAAGTGAAAGAACAAGTCGGTGAAGAAAAAAAAAGCCAAAGCAAATGAGGAAGTCACTAAAAGAATGAACTGTAGGTCAAGAGAGCCAGACAGAAAAGAGGGTGAGCGGAAGGAAATGTCAGAGCCAGAGAGAGGAGAAAATGGTAACAATGGCTAAAAATACCAGAATCAGGCATCGCTGGGCAGAATAGGCCAAGGCACGGGGCAAATAACTCCCAGAGAGACGAGCGAGCTCTCAGCGTCCTCATTCTGGCTGCATGAATCCAGAGGACGGAGGAGGAATGTCATGCCCTTGACAGGGGCCTCCATTGGCAAATGTATCACCTCTTCCTACCTACGACCACACATGTCCAGGAATAGCACTTCCTGTTACAGATTCCGCACACCTTTTTCCACTGCAGTAATGAATGGACTTAACCTGGTCAGCAGCACCGAAGGCAGAGTTTAGTTTGGATCTGTAGCACTTGTGGACGTGAACACTCCTAAGGATCAGTTAAAAAAAAAACAAAAAAAAAAAAACACTTCCAGTCCAAAGAAATTCAATCTAATATCACAAGAAACCAAGAATTGTTGTCATTTGAAAAATGAATAGAACAATTATCAAAATCGTTGCAGATTAATTCTCTACTTGACGATTGTTAATTGACTGAATATTGCTCTGGATAGTCCACAGGGAGTATTTCAGCATAGAAAGTATTAAGCAACCAGGACATTTTTACCAGATTTTACCATTTTTTTTGTCCTTTTTCATGCTACAAACTAGCGCCGTCATATTAGGAGTGGAGGCAGAAAACTAGGAGACTCGACATCTCAAAACCTGAACAAAAAGACAATTACAATTTAGCTGGACTGACTGAATCTGAATCTGACACTTCTGCTGTTTGCAAATCCCCGGTTCAGTAACTTTAAAAACTGCTGATGCTGCTGATGTTGTAGTTGATAGCAGAGTGTGCAAACTAATGAGGAAAAGCCTCCATTTGTAATCTGCTCTTACCTAAACTCTCAAACAGCGATCATGAGAAAAGAGTGCAGGAGCCCAAAGTCCCCCCTCCTCTCACTCCGTACTTACAAACACAATGGCAACTATCCAGACACTGTAAGAGAACAGTGACAAGCTGATATGACTCATGGTGGGCTAGGATCACAGACAGAGGACGAGGGGGTCGGCTGTAGGCATGACATCATGCCGGCGTCCATTACGAAAGTCCGCCGTTAGCAGAAATGTTTCGTGGACTCAGCACTTTCCATTTTCCCACCGACTGGATTGTGTGTTTAACTTCAGTAAAAACACACTACTGGGTCTTCCAGGGACCCCACCCCAGCCTTTTATGCTAGTGCTGCACTAAATGAGCTGTGTCCTGAGTAAAGTTCAATATTCATGTCACACAAAAGAACACTTCACCTATGAAATACAAATTGCCATCTGTGGTGAAAGGACCACGGAGTTAGACGAGGTGGAAAATGTTAGATTTTTCTCTGAGTAACAGCAGTGACGGGTTGCTAGGAGGCAGCCCTCTAATCAGCCATTAGCGGCTGCCTCCCTCGGGGTCAGTTCATCGCACTCACTGCCAAAGACGGCACCGGCAGAATATTAACAAGCTCCAGAAGGAACAACGGCCACCACAAAGCCATAAAGTCCTGAGTTAAATCAAACAAGAGGACTGGTGGCTATTTCAGCTGATCACACAGCCGTCAGCATTCAAAGATACCAGAATGGTATTTTATGCATTGAAAGAAAATGTAATCTATAATATATATAACATATTTTTAGACATGTTTATGCAGAAGAAGCTTCTCAAAAAAGGGTTAGATTAGATCAATAAACTTGTAAATATAAATGTAGAATACGGACATTTACTCAAGTTGTATTTTGTATATTTTCTCTCAATAGACTAAATACATCCCTCATGAATGAGATCCATATCAACCCATTACTTCATCCTACTCTCCTTCCTTCTCTCACTGCAGTCTAAACAGCCTTTCATGCAGGTCTGGACTTCTTTCTGCTTCCCCCTCTCCGAACAGGTACTTCCCCCCAGGAGAGGACAGGAGCGAAGAAGCAGGATAATAACAGAGGAGGAGGAGGAGGAAGATGATGAAGGATACGGGATGGACAAGGGAAAAGCCTTGGGCTGTGGAGGTGAGCAACAGGTTAGGAGACGGGTGCAGCAGTGAACAAAGACAAATGAGAGAAATAAGCCATCATTTCATTTCTAGATGACTCTTTCTCTCACTTCTCCTTTATGTGCTTTATGTGAGTGTGTGTGAGAGTGTGTGAGAGTATGAGAGTATGAGAGTGTGTGTGTCCTGGGGTATGAAATAACCGGCAGCTCATTAGCCCCCATGTCACTGGGGTGATGAGAATCATCAGCAGGCTAATGAGCAATAAGTGGGTAAGCATTACAGATGTGACTGGCTGCCACAGCCAGAGTGAGGAGGTGGGGGGGTGGGGGAGGGGGGAGTGACAGAGTGAAGGAGACAAGGAGGGGAAGAACGATGGAGACAGACGAGTGGGGTTAAGAGAGAGAGACTAAGAAAGGAAATCACCGAAGAGAAAATCAGATCGAGGCTGAAAAGAAAACATCACACTCGAGAGACGAACGAAAAAGTCAAGAGAGAGCCGAGCGAGTCAGTGTCACGGGGACAACCAGCCTCATTAGAGAGCCGTCTTAATCGCATCATAGCTCGTTGGAGGCTGCAACCAATCACGTGTCTGGAGAGGGGAAAGGTCACAGACTGCCGCGGACAGTAACAAGTGCTGATTGCATTACAGAGCTGTCTGTCTGGGTTTAGTCCGTTTGGTGGACGCACATGACCCGACTGGCTGACTAGCGGCCGTGTACTGAACCTCAAGACTTTTTTTGGTACAGACCGAAATGTGTCTGGAGCATCAAGTATTGGAAACTGTCCTATGGCCTATGGGTTTAAGGCACCATGAACTGTAAAGTCTGGACAAGGAGCACAGTTGCATGTTACTCCCCGTCTTTCTCTACCTTCGGTTCCTGGGATCTCTATACTGTCAGCTCTCTAATAAAAAGGATTGGTTTTAAGGAAAAGTTCTTGTTTGCCTGTTTGTGTTGTGAACTCTGGATCCTTTGTTAAGAGAAAAGAGAAGGATTCTAACAAAAAACATGTTTATATCTTTGAATGTGAGGTATTAAAACACTTTTGCAATTGGTACCGAAACTTAGATATCGTTTCTGCACTAGTATCCAAATATTTCAAACATTACCAAGTCCCAAGAGTCCGAGTCTCTCTCAGATAAATCAGATTTGGGTTAGGGATAGTTTTGGATAAATGGCCTGTTGGTCAACCTCAAACAATTATTTTTTTGTATTTGTTTCTTTATTTTGATACCTCGTAGAGCCAACTTGGGCTCGGAATGTTTTAAAGAATATTTAGACACAAATTCATTCATTTGGATGATAAAATCCCAAATCCTCCATGTGTCACTGGTAATATGTCCACCCTGATGCTCCACGCAAAACGATGCGATGCTGAATGATTGTGGGCCCCGTGCTAAAACTCTTTCATGCTGAGCGATGGCAAGCAGGTTTTGAATAACTCCCATCATGTTGAGCTATTGCAGGTATCATGCCAATGCTTTAACACACGTCGGTCAGTAATGGGTGAAGCTTTTGATTTTGATTCATAAAGCCGGGTGTATTCTGTCAACTGTTCTATTAACTATCTCGTCTCAACTCTACTATCTCTACTCTATCAGAGCAGCTTGTTAATCCCCTCGACAGCAGAACGTCAAGGTTGGCAGATTAAACTTCACCACATGGATGAACTAGATTCGTCTACACGTTTAGCACTTCCTGTGAGGTAGAGGAGTAACACGATACCGTTGGCGGTTTGTTGCCTTACCCCTTTGACTCCCTTCAGGTCTCCTTTCAGCAGGCTGTCCAGAGGAAAGGTGATGATGTTGTTCATGTTTTGGAACTGGAGGAGGGTGAGGAGAGAGACAGATAAGAGTTGAAGGGTTACATCAGAGGATTTAAACCCGCAGGAGACTGAAAGTTACCGAGATGCAACCCTTTTAGTGTGTTGTGTGTGAGTGTCAAACAGGAAAAGAGCTGAACGGCAAAGGTAGGCACTTAAGGTAGAAAGAGTTTTGGTCTCTTGTTTCCTTCAGTAAATGATGGTGACGAGAGGATAAATAAGCTAAATGAGGGACAATGGGTTACTTATACTTTGCCAAGTTTTTGCTCATCTCTAAACGTTTTCAAAAATATAAAACAAACCATTATGAGACAAGTAACCTCTGTGTGTAGTGCTGCTCATGTAATCTAGGGAAGCCAGAGCTTGCTAAAGCAGGGAGAGATTACATCTTCACACCCAGGTCAGGCGGCAGCTCATATTTCTTTAATATAAGGTTTTGAGACATCAACATAAAAGCCCAAGCTCTTGGTCTCGGGGAGAGTCGATACAGTGTCCAGGGGAAGCGACAGACCTCACATGATGGTGTCAGATTTGTCTAATAAAGCTTTGGCCTCGATACAAAAACCTTGGCTTTAACAGATCAGGTTGACTTAGATCCGGCAGATATTTGGTGCTGCAGCGGCTCGCTGGCCGTCTCAATGGAAAAACTAGAGCTACCTCCCCGAGGGCTCCAAGTTCCAGCTGGACTCGGTATCTGTGTGTGTGTGTGCGTGCGTGCGTGTGTGTGTTAGGGAACACACACTGTGACTCAAGGAGATACAGACAGACAATTAGGGAGAGGATGAAAATCTTTTTTTATCCCAGAAGATTTTACCCAAATCCTTTGACCCACAAATACACACATTCACACACACTGCACCGTATAGTTAACTCACCAGGTTCTTGAAGAGCGCAGTGAGCTCCTTGGTGAAGACGGAGAACTTGAGGAAAGCTGAACCCAGATCAGGATCATCTCTGTACACACAGTTTTCTCCAAACTTCTCCAGGGCCTGAGTGTACTGCTCCTCATTCTCTACATGGGCTGGGAAACACACACACACACACACACACACACACACACACACACACACACACAGGTCAGCTTTGACAGGTTGTCGGAGTCAAACTAAGGGCTTTCACTCTCTGATCATTTCAAAAGAAAGGCTGAAGATACAGAAGGAAGAAAAGTAAAATCAACTGAGTCGGCGCCCAAACTAAACAACCCCCACAGTCAGTTACCAGTCAAGGAGGAAGCCATAAAACCAGCAGTGATGAAGTCTCCAAGCGTGTCTAAAGTCGACTTAATCTAGCACAGGGTTAGGCCTCGAGTGATTCCACTTAATTCACCCCACGCCAGACTGGGCAGCTGATAACAGCTAATGCCACTGGGACAGCGGTGGAGCAAGGGATGGGGCACCGGGGACTGTTGCTATGACAACAGTCACTAAGAGACATGACGGAGATGACAGCGGGGGGGGGGGGGCTGAAGGTGACGGGGCGGCGGTGAAGGAAGGATTCGAGGAAAAGGAAGAAAAAGAGGTGTGAACTAAAAGACACCTGCTGCCACATAATGACTCAGCTTTTCATATCTCTCACACACACACACACACACACACACACACACACACGAGAGATATCCATCACGTTATTAACAGGGGAAAGCTGAAATCCTCTGAGTCACTACCTGCCGACCTCCTCACATCAGACAAATCTAATTTAAACCACCGCTGAGCTGGATGATGAAGCTCCTGTGAGACTCAGAGCACAAGTAGAAACATTTGAGTTTTTAACAGCTTCTAGTTTAAAGCACCCGAGAGGGTTCCTTCCACATTACGACTACAGAAGAGACACAAAGTTGCCTATTTAAATAAAACAAACCAATCCCATTTGAATACATATTTACTTAATTAATATAAAACTGAGAGAAACAATAAATCTTGAACTTGACTTATGAAATGACTAAATAAATAATTATTCAATTGTTCAATAATAACTTTCTGTAGATTATATCGAAATGATTGTTTGAGGTTTTCTAAAATGTACATTACCTGAGATTTACTAATGTGATGCACTTTATACAGATGTTAGCAAAGAATTATTTGCATTTAAACTCTATTTATTATTTTAATATAGGCTAGTAACATTTAAGAAAACAGAAAGAAAAAGTTTATAACCCAAAACATAGAAATCGCAAAAGAAATGATGACGATCGATAAAGGGATGAGTCCATAATCTTTAAGCAAAATGAACCGTCTCCAGCTTCTCAAACCTAAATAACAAGTGGTTTCTTGCATTTTGTTGACAATTAAAATCGATTCAACTATTTTTGACTAAGTCCTATTAAACACAGCTTCTGGATCAAAGCAGTGAAATGTGTCGTACGGAGATATAATAAACCTCAATCAGGTGTCGTCTGTCAGACACCGGCCGTCACCACACACCCGCAGCCTGCTGTTCACACAGCAGCTCCGGCTGTGTGGCGGTGGCTCTAGGCCGACAGGGCGGTGACCTGCTGTTGTTGAAAAAGTGGCACATGAGAGCTCCGTTCAGCGCCGACAAACAGCCCAAAACCACCCCCGGGCTGCTTAGTGTGTATTACATGTGTATTCGTTGTAACGTGACCTCACGCATCACGCATGCAGTCTGCAGCACAGAGCAGCTCTGGACCTCGATATTATAGTTCATATAAGTGGGATGGCAGAGAGAGACAGAAGAGAGACACGAGGACAGAGGCGGCCTTTTCTTTTAGTTTACACTGTAAACAAAACCTGCTAATGGAGTGCTGCTCTGCATGTTGCCTAAACATCTCCAATACAGCAACCCGGTGTTCAGGGGCTTCCTTACAGAAACAAGGGCTTTGCATGGTTATAAGAGAGTCACTCTAAAAACTACACCCTCTTCTTTAACTTTTTCTCAAACTTTTGTCAATGTTCTATGCATTTTATTAAGACTGCACATTGCAGTCTTCAATTGCAGCAATTTGATGCTGAAATTAACTCCTAATCATCAGTACAATAAAAACAAGCAAAGACTAAAGGACAGACATTTTAAAAAGCATATTTCTTTTGCGTTTTTTTATTGCTTTACTCCCTGTTGATCATCTTGTGATGCCCATAGACTGTATATAAGAAGGGGGACGCCTCAGATTTATTTGAGGACCTGCTAAACTCCATCTTTAAAACTATTGAGGCATCTGCAACATGAAACATATTGTTTATTTTACCAAGCAGTGACACTGTTGTGTCTTCCTAGAGTGCCTTGCCTTTCAGAAAATAACTCATTAAGAGTGCAATTAGCATGTGAGAGCTCCACTCATTTCTTAATTGTAATTTCTGACTTAATTCAAAAATAATTAAATGCTGGGTGTTCATCTGCATTTACACCATTTACCTACTTTCGTTTATATTGTACACACTTTTTTTGTGGGCTTTTTCCACAAATGACAAGCAAAATAAAACAGTTTCAGGTTAAGAGAAACGCTTGAAAGGTAGCATGGCGGTTAGTGGTGTGTGTGTGTGCGTGTGTGTGTGCGTGTGTGTGTGTGTGTGTGTGTTTGTGAGACAGGACCTTCGATCAATTCTAAATCTCTCTACAGACGGTAAGAAAACAACACCGGGCTCCACGTCCACTTGCACTGAGAGAAGACCCTTTACGCACAGACGACTCCATCCTGCATTTCAGTGTCTCATCTGATCGTGTTCCTCAGACATCCGTCCAGTTTGATTACATTTAAGCTTGTGGAAGTCTCATTGTGTATTGGTTACCTTGCAGCCAAGAGAGAACTGTATGATCAGAAGGAGAAGGTCAGCCCAGATGGCTAAGTGCTGCATTATTCAGCAACTCTATCCTGCTCAGCTCTATAGGCGCAGCAGCAGGAACACGGCGCTCACTCGTCTGCCTCGATTCTTTATCTGTTCGGCAGCTTTGGCAGGTCTGTCCGAGCGGCTGTGCTCGATCAGCTCCGGGTTCTTCGGGGGTTTGAGATGCTGCTGCTGGTTTATTCATCAAAACCCACAAGCTGACAAGCTGACAGGCCCCTGCAGCAACACGGGTCTGTACAGCTTTCCCAGTATCTTTCGTTCCCATCTCTTTCTAACTCTCTGGTATACGAGGCTACTTTGCTTGCTCAGCCTCTGCCGTTCTAGCCAAACCTCCATCTTCCGCTCACCTCCTCGTCATTAGTATTCCTCACGTCATCGGCGATAAAATATGCTTCCACGGTTTTGGGCTCGACAGCCAGTTCTACCAGGACAGAATGTATTCTCGGAGTAGTGAGGCAGTCGGTGTTGAGGCTCCCTGTTGTGTGCCTCATTATTCAGGCTGCATCCTCTTTGAAGAATATGAATACAAATGCTGTGCTTTCATTCTTCGCTTTATACGCGTCAGCATATACTCAAATTGTATTTAGTATTTCTCAACCGTACGCAATGTTACTGACTTTGAATCTTGCGAGCATAAGGACTGTCCAATTTACTGGAGCAGTCAACAATGTTTGCATTGCCTAAAAGTTATATGGGATGATCTTTATTTTTATGTTTTTGATAATTCCCCATGGTATAAGCGGGATAATGCCTTCCCAGATGTCTATTTTCAGATATGAATGGCCTTCAGAGAGAGGGTTCTGGCCTCCACGTCGTCCATTACTTCCAGATAATGAACCCCTCGTTGTCCATTACTTGAGCTCTGGATTCTTTTTCATTGATGATATTTTTTATTTACATTTAAATCAAGTTGCAGTGTTTATATATGAGCTTGTATTTGCTTAATGGACCTCACCAGTGTGTTTTAGTTAATGTTTTACTGCTGATCAACTTGAAAAGTCTAAACTGAGTGAACTAGACTTGATTATGTTACTTTAACCCACATCCATCGTTAATATTGATCGGTGCAGCTTTAAATATACAGTAACGGTAGTAAATGGGCTAAAAGGTAAATTTGCTTCTTCCCAATTTTTCCTACAGCAGATGATCTTGTTCATAATGAAAACAAATTTAAAACACCTACAATACTCAAACGTGTGTGTGTGTGTGTGTGTGTGTGTGTATCCTGCTGCACTAACCACACACACTTTCAAATGAAGGTAATTTATCAACATCAGGGGCATTCATTCTAGCAGCTGAACAGGGCGAGACGTACACGCTCGTACACACTCACAATGTCAGCCGTTCACGTCATGGGGTGACACAATAGAGGTTCCGAGTCTGGTAGCGACAAAAAGGCACATCATGTATGTAAATGCACAGTGAGGTGAGAACGTGAGTGTGTCCATGCCTCAGCAGCCACACACAGACACAGCGTGCGCCCCTCCCCAGCTGTTCCTTTGGGGGGGTCTGGATCAGACAGCTGTCCCCTCTGGTCTGAACAGTGCTCACACTGTTCTGAAAAAGACATGCTCAGCACATTGTTCAGAGGTCTCTCTCCCTGCGTCTCTCTCTCAGCGGGGTTCTGTCAGGCAGGCCGGACAAAAGACACTGGAAACACCCAACACTGTCACAAGCAGCCACAATGACCATGGTAATAACACACACACAGCTATCCTCCCTACGTCTGCCTCAGAATAGAAAATGCAATTAGTAATCATTTCCATTTTCAATCCATTGTGCACTTTTGTATTGAAACCAGTTATCTTGTGAAAACAGAAAAATCTTCTTTTTTTGTATATCAAAGAGAGAAACATGTTATGAAAAACTACAGCGAGAGTGCTAAGATAAGGAAATGAAAATCCCGGCATAGAGGACAGACGGGGGAACTCACCTAGACCAGACGTGTAGATGGCCTTCACAGACTTCTTCATCTTGTACAGAACACTTCGGTCCACATCCAGAGCCTGCACAGACAGACACACACTCTCACGTTAGAGTAGATGTAATCATTTAATGACAGACATTAAAGCATTTTGTGTTTTTTAAGTTGACTAAAGACATTTGTCGATTTTAAATCAACCTGAGTCGATGTAAACCACGTTCGCTGCCATTTTTCGGACACAACTTCTCATTTGCTAGGTAGCTTGACGTCCCCATTGTTAATCCCACGTTCAAAGCTCCGATCGATCGAGCTGAGCGCAACACAAGAACTATTTAAGATGCAGGCAGCCATTCCGAGTTATAGAACCAGATCAGGATTCTGTAGGGCTGTCCTCCACCAAAGAATTCATAGTCGACTAATTGATTTGTTGATCTAATCGAGCAATACGTAAAACTTGAGTTTCTCCACAAAGAATCACACAAATGCCACTTTAAATCTTGTGTTTACCAGAGATGTGCTCAAGCGTTTCTTGGAAATGAGTCATTCTGCGTGAAAAAAGCATAAAAAAACACTTATCCACTAAAGAAATCGAAATCAACTGAGACCTGAACTGAAACGATTTGTCGACTAATGGAGTAAGAGGGGCCAGTCCTAATATTCTGATATGGCAGCTCTCAGTGATACAGTATATATCTCAGTCCTGTTCAGAGACCGTCACAAGGATGTTGATTCAACTCTACTGTCATTTCTGAGGTCCAAGTTTGTGTTGTTGCCGTCCTGAGCTGGTACTCCTGCTTTTTTTGTCCACGTCCTGAATGCAGGTATGTGGTACCGTTTGTGTGTGTGCGCGCCTCTCTATGCCACCTCTATTCTGGCTGCAGTCAATCAATTATTCAAGGAAAAGCTAAGAATAGAACTGAACCATCATTGCTTTCTCTGTGTGTGTGTGTGTGTGTGTGTGTGTGTGTGTGTGTGTGTGTATATGTGTGTGTGTGTGTGTGTGTTAGTATAATAGCTTGTAGGGAAAGAGCAGTGAGCATCTGCAGTCTCCTACATGAAGGACAATTTCGCTGAGATGTGCATAAACGGGCACACACACACACACACACACACACACAAACCTATGACTACCCGTAGACTTTCACACGCATTGAGACCAGAGACTCACACACTAAACAGAACAAACACTGGGAGTCCAGCTGAGACAATGCAGCACTGTACCAGTGATAAGTGAGGCAGTCTCTCAGGATGAGGGGGGATTTTGAGAAATTAGTTTTTAGGGACTTTAATAAGTTCGTCCCCCAAAGCGGGCCAGAGCTGGCGCCACTTTTCCCTTCCCTACTCCCCATCCGACTGACGTATATCAAATCGCCTAGACCCTCTGAAAACAAAACACACACAATGGCCCCCATTCAGCTGCAACACACACACACCAATACTGTACACACCCACACTGTCCTCTTTGCAACACCACTAGTTGTAGTGACGAAATGTGTTGAATCCATAAATCTGTGCCGTATTAATATCCAAGCTATGAGCTGTTTGCTAATGCAAAATGGAAGAACCACTCCGCACTCCCGGGGTCATATCCCACACACACACACACACACACACACACACACACACGAAGGAGAGAGAGAGAGAAAGACAGACGTGACTTTAAAAAGGAAAAGATGACAGATGAATAAAGTGTCGCTGGTCGAGGACGGGTAGAATAAAAGAAGAACACAGAGCTCAAAGAAAAGACGAGAACAGTTTGCTCTGACACACTACTGATGTCTCACCATCTACACAAGATTTAATAGCAGAAGTTCCCTTTTTTATTATTACATTTTGATTCAATATAAGGCTTGTTAAGCTTCAAGGAAAACGAGCAGTGGCGCTCCATCACACAGCGAAGGCCATCTAATCTATAAAGATAGGAATCTCCGACCGTCTGTCCTTGCATATCTGGAGAACGGTCCATCCGATATACGAACGCCACAACCCAAAGTCAATTGGCGTTGAGCTGTTCTTGAGAACGCTGCGAGTAGTAATGCAAGCCATGCAATCGGGCGTTCCTGAAGCGCATGAGTTCCTAACGGGCACGTCCGGAACAGGCACTGCAATAGAGTATCTAATAACAGATGCAAATGTTTCCACGTGTGTGGAAAAAAACTTGAGGTTGCACTGAAATTCAGACACCAGGCTTATAATCACTATCTATACATACATTTTACCCAATCGGCCATTTTCACAAATACATTGTGACATGTCACAGTAGGGAAAAGCACAGGTGTAATTGATAACTACTGCATTCCATTTAGCTGCTTCAATTTTAGGGTCCTGGTATTGAGCGTGCTCGGTCACTGTCACTGGGACACCTCATCTAGGGCTGGGCGGTATACCGGTTTTAATTTCCGTAGGATGAATTTTTCATATACCGGCACAGCAGAGGCAACTTCTATCGCTCTGCAATAGGCAGCAAAATATATTGTTTGCCGCTGAGAGCGCTGCAGTCGGAGCTAGTTGTCTTAGCTGTATTGAGAGGGAACCCTAGTCATGGTTATAACTTTATAACAATTAACAACCCACAACTAACGCTCTTTAACAGGGCAAAACACCACGACACAACAGTTAGTGACACATAAACAATTTGTAACACTAATAATTGTACATTTATAGAATTTCCCCGCCGAACTGCATGCTGGGTAAAGCTCGCTAACAACAGTCTGCTAACAGCTGGGAGAGGCTCTGTCGCTCCAGTAACGTTACATTACAGAACAGAACAGAGCGATGCAGGATGAACAAAGACTGAACAACAAAAGGTATTTTGGTTAGACACATATGCAACGCTGATTACCGTAATATGTGTGGTATTTGTTATAAATGTACGTTGGTACATAGAGTGATAAGAAGCTTTACCTGGAGGGGCTTAGGACCCAGGGGAATGTAGGTGAAGGAAAGAGGAAGTGACTGAACTGAAGACACGCCACACAAACAGCTGTTCACTGCTCGCTGGCCGGTTGACCAGCAGGTTCTTTTCGGCGTTAATTAATTAATGCTTTAACACCGAAAAAGAAAATACCGTGATATACCGTGAAACCGCCAGAATCGTAAAAAATACCGTGATATGCATTTTTGGTCATACCGCCCAGCCCTAACCTCATCTATGTTGCTCTATAAGCTGCGTCCAAATTATTCAGAAACATTAAAAATGTATTTACTGTCAATTACATTTTCCAGCTGTATTACTGCCACATCTTTCAAAACTTTAACAAGGATACTTTAATTTAAAAAAAAAAAAAACAATCAACGCAGGTTAAAATGAATATTGTTTACCCAAATAAACTTCTAGACAGCAGTACTTGGTAAAAGTATACATACTAAAAATACAACCTGATGAGAACTGTGCAAATAAAAAACAGCCAGAAGCTACTTGCGTTGAGTGAGAGTAAGAGTCAGTGCTGTGGTTTTAGGTCCTTCAACTCCTGCTAAATGACTCATCTGTTACATATGCCATTATCCTCCTCTGGCTCACTCAGACCCCACAACTGTAGCTCAGACCCCACACAGCCATGCGTGTCTGTATACTGTTAAAACAGGTATTTTTAAAACAAACACAGAGACAAAACGAGTGAGAAAAATACAGCGACAGAGAACCATCTCTGTCTCCACCGCCAAACCAATCCAACCACACAAAAGACTTTTAAACGGGTAACTGGAGACCGCACCACCTCGGGCTCTACTCTCCACATTTAACCTACTCGGAGCGAACGCCTTGAGAGTACTGAAAGCATTTCTGCAGGTACCTGAGCTTCTGTTAGACAGTAGAAAGCTAGTATGACTTTGGATATAAAAGACCATACTGCATGCATATGTGTAATTCTTTACAGACCGATATTTCACAGAACTGCATCACTCCTTTATTTCAGTATTGCAGGAAGCAATTTCTAAATGAGCCCGTAAAACCTACTTCAAACTGTCATTTATTGATTGATTATTTGATGCTGCGAATGTGTTTGGTGAGGAGGATTTGAGTTCAAACAAGGGTGAGCTGCTGAAGTCGAAGCAGGCGACGGCGTTTACCAGCTGAGTGGTGCAAAGAATCAATAAGCTACCGGAGTGCGTTTCATTCAGATTATATATTAGAACTGCAAAATGGTGCGTGGCATCAATGCTGAGTTTTCAAAATGTACAAAAAATTACATTAATATGCATTGGACACTCTGACCAATGCAGCTGGGCTCCCTGGCAGCAGCATTGATGCGTTTGTGGAGGAAGACTAGCCAAATGGACAAGAGATTTACAGCAATCTGTTCACTTTGTAACTGAAGCTTTTGGTGCATATGCTGCGTCAACACAGTCAGATGGCAATTATGTGTTCTGCTCTAGGAGCGTGTAACTGCTTTGGTATCGGTAGTTCTTGCAGCAGTACACTGCAACTGAGAGGTACCGTTACGAGTATGTTTATCTGCGTTAGTATGAAGCAGGCTTGTGTTAAAACTGAGCATGTCGTAATGTTATATGCGTCTACAAAGTAGCCTCACAACACCAGATAAGATGTAAACGTTTGCAGCTTCAACAGTCAAACCTTTGTTGTATCCCAATTCCAAACTACGTACCAATTCTATGCAGGTTTGGAGCCGACACTTGAGTGTTAAGTTCATTCAAATAAGTCATGTGTGCTGAATCTGCTTGATTTTTGGGTGTCCCACAATGCAATGCACAAAGGAAATGGGGAAGCTACTAACAGCTGCAAAAAATACAAAAGCAGATGGGCGTGAAGCTGCTCCCAGTAGATCCTGGAAAACAAAAAAGTATGTATCGTGCATTCGTTTTTGTTGACTTGGCAGAGGCTTGCTGCCTCATTTCCAGTCAGTATAAATAGCAAAGCTATCAACACCTTGTTGTATCGACTACACAACGGTCTACAGGCACATTGGCAGATCTAAGCCCCTGTTTGACCGCCACATAACATCAGTAATGAGCCTGGTTTGACCAGTGAAAGCCTACACGCACATGAACATCACAGCTCTCATCGAGCCACGGTCTTCCTTTCTCTCTCTCTCTCTCTCTCACTCACTCACTCACACACACACA